TGTTATATAGCCAGTTCGTATTTCAGATAGGGATGTTCAGATACCAAGTACTGTACTTGGTACAAGTACAAATACTTTTCCAGCTCCAATGAAAGACTAGACTAGAGAAAAACTCAAATGTTAGGAGGCAGCTGTCATTTTTAAGGAGCATTGGCTATGGGGCTCCTGGGATTTGTGCATCACTGTTTTAATGTATGATGTGATATATATATATTTTAGGGATGAAATGATACCATTTTTTTCAGACCAAGTACAAGTACAGATACCTGTCCAAGTACTCACGGATACCAATTACTCAAGCCATTTTGTTTAGTGTCATGTGACAGTTTTTCTAAAACAATACAGACTAACGATTTCAGGACAGTGGTGGAGCTCCAGGGCCCAGTCCCAGCTGCAACCCTGGTAGTTCTCGTGAAAATGGCAAATATTGGCACAGATACAGATACTGGTATCTGAACATTCCTAATTTAAGATAATGGTGATAGTGGAAGAGGAAAATGGGGACCTTTCTTTCTGGTGTCACACATGGGTCTACATAAATTCCTGACTGATAATCTAAGCCCTGATAAAGGGGGAGTGTTGTTGCCATCCGAAACGCATGAGCTGTTTTTTGTTTCATCGACTTGTAAACGGCACTTTTGTACTCTTTTACCTTTGGGTTTGGTGCCCTTTATTTCTGAACACGAGTCACTCCTGGTTACTCATCAGTGGAGGCCTGCTATGCTGGGAAGCTGTCTTACCAGTGCCAGTGAGCATATTTGAGCACACCGTGTTACTTTGGAGTTCTTAAAGGGCGGTGGCAGACCCTTTTTTCCTTCAGAACAGGATTTCTATAATTATTTTACTGCAATGACATATGCAATGAAACAAAACGGTCATCTTTAAATTATAACAAGTCACATTATTTAAAGTATAAAAACCATGTGTCATTCAGAGGTGTTTTACATTGTTAAAGTGACCCTGCCACAAGTATAAAACGTTTAAACCAGAATCATCACCCTGTAAAAGAAAATGCTTACCTCTCCATTCTTTACTCTACTACAGAGTTATGGGTGCCACTGCTATGTGCCACTAATTGGCGTATCCTATAGCAGTTCCTCCCACCAGCCGCTACATCACTACAGGCCACAGTACTTGGAGAGGTGGTGTCCAATACATCTGGATGTGTCACATATAAGTGGCAGCCATAGGCCACAGCAGCAGGGTCATTTTAAGGCTAAATTGCTACCGTATGGCACAATTAAGTCCTTGCTTCTGTACATTCTCCAACAGCCACAGATGGGAAGTTAATGGTTGGCACACTCACTGTTCTTAGAAGACTGCAGTTTAGCCAGAGGACAGGGTGTTCATTGAATATAGTCAAATATATCTTAGTGATATGTTCTTCACATACCATACTGATGTACCCCAGAGTTCAACAGGTGCTGGAACAACTGCTGGATGGTGCCACTGTATACAGTTTAGAGGATATGTTATCTGCACACCATTCTGCTTCAGAATATCATATTTTTTGGTATTCCTTCAGCATGACATATAAATGCAACATTTTGGAACCTTACAGGGCCCCTGAACGACTATGGTGACCTGCAAGGTACTGAAATGTTGCATTTATATGTCATGCTAAAGGAATACCAATAAAGATGATATTCTGAAACAGAATGGTTTGCAGAACACATATCCTCTGAATCTTTTAAAAGACACCTAAAATTCCCAAAGGGTAATATATACTTCATATTTATATAATGACCTATGGGATAAAGTAATTTTTGGAACATCAAAAATCAGCTGCAACCGCATATGGAAAAAGTAAATTGTTAGCCATGTTTAATTGGAAAGAACATTCTTGTTGGTCAAGAAAAGCAAGCAGATCAATTACATCTATTCGACGAAAGTGCTCCAGGAATTCAACAAAACTTTCACTTAACTGTCTGTACTCCACTCTGCTACTTTATGAATGGTTCTTGAGGAGGCCTACGGATATCATTAAAACCGTATTCTATTTTAAAGAGAAGCCCTAACACAGGGCTTATGTAAGAATCTGAGATTAAATAGTAATATCTGGGCAAGTCCACTTATAAAAGATGTATATCCTCCCCTTTTTTTGCTTTATTTCCCATGCCTGAGACTTGCACTTTAGCATGACTAGCAAGGGTCATAGGTCACATGAGGTCCGACAATTACAGATTTGGCAATGTCCTTTCCTGTCAACTGCCTTGGCTCCCTGGGGTTGATATACTAAAGAACTGAAGGATGATAATTTAGCAAAGTGAATGATTGGGCATTCAAAGTTAACAGAGGTTCACCATTACTCCTTTTCTTTTATATATGGGGGAGAATGTGACCTACCCTATGTGACATTGTTCAGGCCTCAGTGGCCAATCATCATTTACCCAGGTTGGCTCCAACACCACCCAACACTGAAGCTTACCCAGGGTGGACCCCTACTGCAAGGAGATGGTGAGGAAGTATAGATCAGTGATAATACATTTCCTGGGGGTGGACTATAGATGACCGGAATTAGCAAAGTGAAATTGTCTTATTAACTACTGTATAGGGCCCAGTTATTAAGCACTCTCAGGAGATGAGAAATCATGCATGAATTCAACCAGCTTGGAGGTCAACAGATGCTGATTGTCAAACCTCCGACACTTAAGTTCAAGTATCCAAGGGTGAGTGTGGATGAGGCGCTGGACCAAAAACTTTCTCTAGTCGAATAGGAACAATATTTGGACTTGGTTCCGGCAGCTCTTTACAAAAGGAAGATGGCCATTCAGAGGTAGGGGACCCATAAATGAGAAATCAACGTAAATGAAGAATGAAAACAAGTGCCAGGTAATTATCTCAAGAGTAAAAAAATAAAAAAAACTTTGACTTTATTGAAAAATAGCAACAAGAAGATATTCACAGCCAATATGTTTCAGGGGTCAGGAATCCTTTATTTGTACAAATGCTGAACTACTGGTAAATATCTTTTTACTGCAAGGATTTGCAATCCTGCCTCAGAAACAGATTGTGTGCAGTGGCTGTAAGTTTAGAGTCCATCAGTGTCCTGTTGTTTATTGCTTAAGGCGTGATCAAGGGGGATTCCACACCCCTGAAATGCATTGGATATGCATATCTTCTTGTTGCAATTTGTGAAAGCCAATAAGGTTTTTTTGGACTCGTGAGAAAATTACCTAGTGTTCCTCAGTCAAGCTCAAGTGTAATACTGAGACAAAGGAAGCAAAGTTAAAAAAGGAGGCAAATATACATATTGCATAATTATAACAAAAGAAGAGTTAAATATTTAGATTCTATTATAAGCTCAGCCATTAAGGGTCTTTTTTCAGATATAATTCCACCTATCTATGGCCTTAATTTCATTTGAGGTTTTTTAATCTTTTAGTCGCACTAGATAAACCCTTTTAATAAAAAAAAAACACACTTCCCTTTTAGCACACTAAATTTAACATGTCATGTTGCCAACAAAGTAGTAGTCATTGTCAACAAGAGGTTAATTCTATACAGTTAATGAACATTTTATGTTTAGCCGAGCCTTTAATTCTCACAAGGGTGATTCTTTTTAAAAGATCCATATTTACTCTTGCAAAAGGTAAGGCGATAAAGGAAAGTAGGCCACAAAGCCAAGGCTGAAACAGGCACATATGTTTACTTGTCACTGTTCGTTGACCATCGTCTTGAAAGTGGTAGCAGTGGATTTAGTACTGACATTAGTCACCATGGTAATATGGAGAGCAGAAACTTCTCTGTTGTCTACAGCTCTATCCAAAATTAAAAATAATTGTCTGGATTGAACTTTAGAGGGTGAATCTTGAATACTGCATCCAAGAACACAGTTGAGATGGCAGCTTCAGGAGGATGATGTAAAACCAACAGCTTACAGATCTCACCAGTTATCCAGTCAGGTAAATGCATGTATGATGTCTTTAGAAACAAACTAAAGGGTACCCAACACTAAATCGTGTGTGGCACATAATTGTCTTTTAAAATGAACCCAGTTTGAACCGCATAAAGTAAACACATACGCTTACAGAAAATATTAGTAGGTCTTTGGGATGTGATGTTTAGTAAATTTGCTACCTTTGTCATCCGGTCCAGCCAGTCCTTTAAAAATTTGCAACACTGGTAACAGTAATTTTTGCCCCTCTTCTTACAGCTGCTTCCGTTTTTTTGGTGACCTACCCAGTTAAAGTCAACTAGCAAGGATTCTCAAAGCTGACGTTCCACTTATAGCTACTCCTGTCCCCCCGACTGCCTCACCAACTGGGAAGACAAGATGGCGGCATCTAACCTGACTTCTCTAAAAAGTTTAAAGCCAAACTGAAGTTTAAATCAGCTAAATACATTCCTGGTGCACCAAAGTAGAAGGTGTGCGGAGTCTTACAGTTCATCTTCTTTAGAAAGTAGCCACAGCCTAAGTAGAAAAGCCTGTCCTCTGACAGCATGATGGAGAGAAGAACCCTTACTCTCTAGTGGTCTCTTTGCAGAAGTCTGACACACCCCCAGCTAGGTCAGAACTAGGGCTCTCTAATCAGCAGTGAGCACAGGTTTTGATGATTGCATAACCACAGGTTTGCCTCAGTGCGGGGGAGTGTCAGGCCTCTGCAGAGAGATCACTCCTTCCACACAGAGAGCAAGGGTCCTTTTCTACAGCATGGTAGCAGGAGACAGGCTTTTCTACTAAGGCTGTGGCTGCTATATAAATAAAATGAACTGGGAGATGTTGCAACCCTGTTCTTTTTGCACACCTGGAATAAATTTAGTTGATTTAAACTAAAAGTTCAATTGCGCTTTAAGTAAACCAGTGGTCCGTGTACATCACCATAAGCTTATTAAGCAGCATGTGGCCTCATGAACCCTCTGCTACTATTTGCCTCACCAGAGAGTTAGAATATGGGTTTGTTTTATCTATGAGCTTATTCAATGGCCTGTTTGAATGTATTATTTGACTAGACTTTTCCTGGTTCACCCCCATATTTTATAGTAAAATATTGTTTTCCTTTTTTTATCCAATCCTTTTTTTTCACGTAAGTTTATCTGTGACAAATATAGTTGTTTTCAGGACAGGATGATTATGTACAGCTTCCGCTCTTCCTCTTTGTTCTCCTGTAAACTGGCACAGTTCGCAGTCGGGCCTGTACAGTCATGTATTGTTCGTGGAAGAAAAATTTGAAAAAGTTCTATTTCTGTCCTCCCAGCTGAATTCAAAGAGGTTTTCAATTATTTCACGTCACTGAGAGTCTGGAAGGTGTTATATTCCATTCAAGTGTTCGTTGAGTTGATAATTAAGGTCTGTAGACTCTGCAAAATGTTGGGGGCCGCTTGGATAACCATCGCGGAGGTTTAGGAGTTTAAGGTCATGTTACGCAGAAGCCACTGTTGGGATCGGCTTCCGTTGCACTCTTTCATTGTTGGGACCATTTTGTCCTCTTCTGATGGTTCATCCAAGCACTGGTTGCTGTTGATATGTCTCAGGAAAAAATGCTGTAAACATAGCAATAAGGTTAATGAAGGTTGACTACAATACAGATATTTATATAACTGCTTAAGCACAATATCCTTTATAATAAATCAATAACAAAAATATCAGATTGAAACAATCTAGTATACCATTTTTAAGAGTGTAAATCCATCTATTATTGTTTGCCCGATCAGTGAACCTGCATTCGATATGGCTAGTCAGGTAAAAGAGAATTTCCGGTAACCATGTTATTTTCAACTAAAATACACTAAAGTTACCACACTTCATATTGTTAACCGGTTACAACGGCATACTATGTGAACTGGCCGCATGGAGCTCTCACCATGATGACCGGGCTCCATGACTTTCAGTGACTTATAAAATCGATGTCACTGTGCTAGTTTAGGTGCATTTCAGCCAGACCAGTCATTATGCAAATGGTACTTTCCCAAGAGAGTCAGGTGTGTCTCCATAGCATCCCCATCCATTTGTTGTCACAGTTTTTTACTCAGCTTGAAGCAAAAAGAGCACTGATATGGAGTGTGGACAGGGAAGAAAGCATGTGATGATTGACAACTGGCAACTGCCTGAATGCTACAAATTTACTCCCAGTGCCTACGCTGAACACTGGAATCCAGAATTATAGCTAAAGACTAGGGGCCATCCTTTATTATATATAATGAAATCTGTGTCCTTCTTTCATGTGGAATTGGCCAAAAGGTGGCTCCACACATTATAAACCAAATTGATTTAAAATTCTGCTGAACCTGTCGCAAAATTCTTAGTACAATAGCCTGCAGGGAAGGTTCTTCCACCCAAAGCATGAAGTAATGTTCTCTTGCTCAGTCCACGGGCTGAAATAAAATGAAACAAGTATGTATAGTCTAAAGCTGAGTATACACTGTTAGATTTTCATACTAACGCTCATGGTTAGCCTTTCAATAATATCATCAGAGACTTGAGGAATGTCATTCAAAATTTTGTTTGATTTTAACATTTAATTTTGGAATGTGTGGAGTTTCCCGAAAGAAAACCACATTCACTGTCTTGTTTTTGTGTGAAATATTTTCCACCCTGCTCCTTTGTTTTCCTCCATGGTTGAACTCAATTGTCCATTTGACCCCATTAGCTGTTAGAAAATTGAACGAACATTCCAAAAACAATTTTTTCAAATAAAATTCTACTGGTGTATGGCCAGCTTTACACGGCAGTTGCCAAGAGATTGCTGCATTATACAGTATATAGTCTGCATCAGGAAGCGCTCTATAAGGAATAGCACCATAGGATACCAACCTCTGAGAGTTGTCATAGAAAGTAATCAGTGGGACTGTAAAAAATGTTTCTAAAAACCTCTCGCCTGGTATAGTTTCTAAGTATCCACGTTTGGCTCTTGCTGCCAGTACAGTACTCCACAGTAGGGCCGTAAGTGCCATCCTCTATGTGACTTAAAGTCAAACATGATTGGGTTATGATATGAAGAAATGAATGGGTCTGTGCAACAGAAGAAACAAAACAAGTGAAAACAAAAACGTGAAGCATGATTAATGCGTGATACATGTAAAGGATGTTCAAGAGGACCTGCACTTGTTAAAAGAAAGCTACGTTGAGCTACGTTGAGAGTATATGGAGATTGCCAGTGGTGACATCTGCTTCTGCCTATTGTGCTGTATATTCTGGCAAAGGCTCCTTGAGTTTTTGTAGTCCAATAAATGTCAATGGATTTAAACTATAGAATGCAAATGTAATCACTTTAAGGGAGGGTCCCCCTAATGCCATATCTGGGGATCTGAGCCTTTTTTATCTGTGATGTCACCACAATGGAACCAGTAGACAGCTGACAGAATTTTGCTGCATTTGCACATTTATGTATCAGGGCTTTTAATCACTCGCCTAAGCAGAGTGGACAACCGAGCTGGGAAAGTGTGCACAAGCATGTTTACTAGGTACTGTGTATAAAGTGACAGGTCCTCTTTAAAAAGCAAGCTCACCTTTATAGCATACCTGTAAAATGGTTGCTGTACATTACACATTTTCTTAGTTATATTTACTTTAATTCCCTTTTCAAGATTTTGCACTTTGTGGGGTCCTCTTGGCCTCTCCCAGTATTTGAGTTTTTACTGGTTGCCATGGATGATTTATATGCAATACTGCTCTGATGCGTACAGTGCAAAGTTGCTGCTGGAGTCACTCCAGCCCAAATGTAACCACCAGTCATGCATAATGCAACTCACAGCAGCCTTCCAAGAAAAGCAGCATCTGCCTGTATGAAGACAGTATTTTGTACATTAGGGCCCATCCACATATGGGGAATGAAGTATGTATCAGCATATGTTATGTGTAAAGGTGAACTTACGCATTAAATACAGTAGGGTCCCACATGGATCATTTTATCCATGGATTTTATGCTTTGCATGGCAATGGCATAGTCAAATCAATCACATTAAAGAGACACTGTCATCATCTTAAAACACTGCAGGTAAAAGCATGGACATAATACCGTTTTTAAATGCTTGCTTGCAATGTTTTTCTTTTACATAAAAGATTTTCTGATCACTTTTAATGTGCCAATGAATGAGCTAAAATATTTGACTGCTCCAGGTACAGTAAATTACCTAGCACAGCCCCCTCCTTCCTTACATGCCATACCCCTCTCCTCTTCTGGGTGTGACTAATTACTTTCTGTGTTGGCCCAGATTATCCACTCATCCCTTTACCTCCCTGCATAACCTTTTATGTAGCAACCAATGAAGGGGGGGGGGATACTATAGGATGTCACCTTAGTGACATCTCTGATAGCTGATGACATCATATCCAAAATGGCAGCACCCAGCAGCAGTCTCAGGGCTTTTGGATGGCTACACAAGGGAGGCTTTTACAAGTGAATAACATAATAACATGCTTGTAGGTAGGTGCAGTATGGCCAATGGCCACTAGAGGCCCCCATGGGGCCCTGGAGATAGATGCAGCTCTGGCCTGGGAAGACTCTGTGTTCCAGGAGAGTTGATATATAGGGGGCGCCCGAGAGGGGAAGGGGTTGAGTTCATAGGAGTACAGAAGAAGTCTAAGACTGTCTACAGAGTCTCTGGAAAGAGACTGTTTCTTGAATATAGGCTGGTCCATGGGAAGGACAGGACCAGGCCTAGGACTATGTAGAGCTACAAAGATTCCCTAGTTTCCCCACAGGGGGAAACCCACCGTGCTAGGACTGACAGGGATGGGATTCCGGAAAATAGTGAAGTGCTAGAAGACTGACGATATTTGCCAGTGGGCCTATGGCCGAAGTAAGTCGTGACTCTGGGCTGCACCTGGGCTGATGTACCTCTCTCTCTAAATTGTATCACCATGCAAGTAACAAGAATTGTGCCGTCATCCCACCCGGGGGTGGCTGATCGTATGCTTTGTTCTGTTTATGCTTTCAAGTAAAACCAACAAAAAGACTATCTGTGTGGACTGGTTCTTCTCCCTCCAACCTTTTTGAAGGTGGGGTTCTACCGGAGTGTGATGTTGGACTGTATCGTGGCTGTAACCATCTGAGGAGGGTAGGTGTGCAATGGGGCTATGCCTGACACGGGGTGCCATTCATGGTGGCCTTTCTCCCTAAGTGGGCGGAAGCGCCGAAGACCGCAGAGGCGGTTGAAGCCATGAGGCCCTGTGTACGCAGTACTACACGTGTGGGAGTGTTTGCACGAGGCCAAGGCCGTGGCCCCTGACCGTGGGG